TCCCCCTGCCAGCAGGCCTGCTGTGTGCCCGTGTGCTGCAAGCCCGTGTGCTGCAAGCCCGTGTGCTGTGTGCCCGTGTGCTCTGAGGCCTCCTCTTCATGCTGCCAGCAGTCTAGCTGCCAGCCAGCTTGCTGCACCCCCTGCCCCTGCCAGCAGGCCTGCTGTGTACCCGTGTGCTGTAAGCCTGTGTGCTGTGTGCCCGTGTGCTGCAAGCCCATGTGCTGTGAGCCTGTGTGCTCTGGGGCTTCCTCTTCATGCTGCCAGCAGTCTAGCTGCCAGCCGGCTAGCTGCACTCCCTCCCCTTGCCAGCAGTCCTGCTGTGTGTCCGTGTGCTGCAAGCCTGTGTGTTGCAAGCCTGTGTGCTGCAAGCCCATCTGCTGTGAGCCTGTCTGCTCTGGGTCTTCCTCTTCATGCTGCCAGCAGTCTAGCTGCCAGCCGGCTTGCTGCACCTCCTCCCCCTGCCAGCCGTCCTGCTGCAGACCTTCCTCCTGCGTGTCCCTCCTCTGCCGCCCCGTGTGCAGACCTGCCTGCTGTGCCCCCTCCTCCTCCTGCCAGCCCAGCTGCTGCCGCCCGGCCTCCTGCGTGTCCCTCCTCTGCCGCCCCGTGTGCAGACCTGCCTGCTGTGCCCCCTCCTCCTCCTGCCAGCCCAGCTGCTGCCGCCCGGGCTCCTGCGTGTCCCTCCTCTGCCGCCCCGCCTGCCCCCGCCCGGCCTCCTGCGTGTCCCTCCTCTGCCGCCCTGCCTGCCCCCGCCCGACCTGCTGTGGCCTCTCCTCGGGCCAGAAGTCCAGCTGCTGAAGGGCACGTCCCTGGGCCAGCAGCTCAGGGCTCTCCTGGAGCTGAATGTCCTGAATTGTCCGGCACTTTCCGGAAGTCGTCTGGCCCAGTCTGCCACTGAGCTGGACGATGGCTGAGGACTACACGTCCACGCTCAATGCTGCCGCCCTCTGGGGTGGGGGCTCCTAGAAAGTCCCCTGACACAGGGTCTTCTCCGTGTCTCCCACCCCTCCCGAGGCTCTGCGCAGCCTGATCCCTGGTGTCTCCACCCGCCTGCACTCTGTCACCTCCCGCCTTCTCGGATGCCCTTGAGTGAACCGACAATAAAGCCCCGTGACTCTGCAGTCACTGGTGTCCGTGTGTCTCGATCCGGATCTCCTGGCTGCACCGCATGGCCACGTGTTTCTCCTTTGCACACAACACTGTGCAGTTCCCGTGCACGGGGGTGCCTGGCTCCAGGGGTCCAGGGGTCCAGCCTGGGCAGCCGGGGCAGGGTGGGCTCGCAGCCCCTCAGCCATCTCGGCCACCGTGGGTTTGTCCCTGACCCTCCGTGCTGTAGTTCACTTAATAGATCTGTTCGTTGATTTGCCTTTGTAGCTTCTCTCTCTGCACGAGACCCAGCAAATCGAGAACAGTATCCTCTAGATCCGTGTCTTTCCAGAGCATGGTCAAATGCCCTCTTGGCTTCAAAACCAGAAATTTTTGGCTGAATTGCCTGAAGTCCTGTTGTGCACCCTGCTGACATCACTGGTGTTGGTGGCAGGAACACGCACTGGTGATTCAGGTCAGGTCTCTGCTGCTCACACCCTGTGTGAGCAAAACATTTTCCTCGACCCCTCTGGGCCTCGGTGAGGCCGGAGTAATAAGACTTATTTTGTAAGGTATGTGGGTGGGTCGGCAGGGACAGCAGAGGGTAGGTGCCTTGTGACCATAGCGCACGTGAGGCCAATGGAACGGCCAGGATGAAAAGACAATTGTGATGATTTGGGGGTATTTTAAGAAATCGTAAAAAATTGTGTTTGGCACAAAGATGTCTTGGAGCCGCTGGCGGAGGCGCCGACCCTATTGCACTGACTATAAAATCGGGAAGGATTCTGGCGCAACAGCGCAGAGGCAGAGGTCGTCCGGGATGGCCCCGAACACCTGCTGTCCCAGGTGAGGGGCGTGTTCCCCACACAGGTGTCTGCGCCGTGTCCAGCAACAGCCCGGTGTGTTGACTCCATGCCTGGGACCAGACACAGTGAGTCAACAGGGGACGAGGTTCTGCGGGAACAGCCTGCGCCAAAATGAGGTGTTGCTCCCCTGCGTGAGTCGACAGGGCGCGGCCACCCCCGGCCAGGGTCCCTGGTGTGTTCGCCAAATCCCACTCTGCGGCCAGAGAGCACTCTGCTAGGAGGTGTACGGGGAGCCTCGACCCACCGACACGACCGGCGCCATAACCGTCTCCACCGGCGGTGTGGCTCGAGGCCTCGTCACGTGAAGACTTTTCACAAAAATGGAACTTTCTTGCTGGTCTTTCATCTGATAAAAGCTATTATCCCGATTTCCAATTTAATTAGTGATGATACAAAGGTTTTGACTCGAGAGACAGAATCGTCTCTGTGCGGAGGCCCTACCTGCCCCCGAACAGCCGGCAGTGTCGGTGGCACGAGCAAGGACAGTGGCCCAGAGACCACCCTGGAAGCCCCCGCCCGCCCGCTTCCCGGGGCCTGGGCAGGCCGGTGCCCCCTCACCCCTGCGACTCCTGTTCCTAGGGCTGAGGCTGATCTTGTAGCTCGTTACCGCCAAGCCCAGCATCGCCCAGCCTGTTTTCAGACTCCGCATGCCCTATTTTATCGCTACGGACAAGGCTCAATTCAATATATTCAACCCCGAGAGCTCGCAAGGTCCATAACTGAGCACCGCTTCAGCCACTCACAGAGCAGCTCCGGGCTCTTCAAACCTGCTCCATTTCTTCCCTAAAATGCCCCCTCACCACTCACTAGGCCTCAGAGCAATGGGGGATCCCAAGTCCAGGCCCCTCCCTTGGCCTCTCTTACCCACAAAATTCTGAGCTCTGCCTCCAGATTTTGTCTGAATCACCCCACAGTTGGGCCCTTAATTGGGACTTGGCATATTTGCCTTGGGGTCTGTGTAGACAGGATACCGCTGAACTTGGGCGGAACGGGGTCGGTGATGGTTCTCCTGGAGTCCAGAGCTCCCAGGAAGCGAGGTGATGTTGCTTGTGTCCCCAGGACCACTGTGGGTTCCCCGCTAGGAGGATGCTGCCGGTGAGCCAGTCCCTGGGCAGTGGCCGTGTGTCAGGTGGGGTCTGAGTTCAGCTGGAGCATCTCCCAGAATGGAAAGAGGCAGACCCAGTCTGAGAGTCAGGGAAAGATCTTAGACAGTCAAAGAGGAAAGCAAGGATTGGGCTGGAAAAGAAACAGGAGTCCTCAAAAACAAGGAGTGAGACTGCGCTTTGGGCCGTGGGGGACCTGACTTGTCCTATCACCTTACACAACTGGAAAATGAGACGAAAGACATGAAACAGCTCGTTTTACACACTGGATGACTGACAGTGAACCCCAAAAGCATGGTGGTCTTACTGAGCTGAACAGAGAAATCGGAGCTCAAGGAGGCTGAGGCAGCTGGCGTGTATGGGACGGAACACAGGAGAGGAGGGAGCTCTGCGGGGAAAGCTCCCGGGGTTCCGCCGCACGCACTGCTGAGTACTGCCATCCGTGCAGACCCCGGAACCCCATGAGGCTGGGCGAAGAGCAGTGAGGGAACCGTAGGGTGAACATCCCCACAGCTCGCAAAAGGTTGGGAGACATCTGAGTTCCAAACGACGAGAGCAGAGAAAACTCACTGAACACCAGAAGCGTTTGGTGCAGACCCCACACCTAAACACTGGTGCTGGACTTGCCCCCAAGCAAAGGTTCTCCGGGTCTGTCCTCCAGAACTGAAGAGCAAGGACCGAGCTGGTCCACAGGCAGAGACTCCAGCCAGAACCCAGCCCCACACTCTTTGAGAGAAATAAACAAAGTGCAACATTCAAAAACATTCACAAAATACGGCATTCAATCACAAATTCCTAGACATATGAAAAAAAGGAAAATGTAGCCCAGAGCCAAGAGATGAAACAGTCTATAGAAACAAACCCAGAAATGACAGTCGATGGAATTAGCAGACAAGGGTATTAAAACAACTATAAATATTCTCAAGGATCCACAAGAAAACATAAACATAATGGGGGAGGAAAGGGTGATATAAAAGAGAACCAAATGAGACTGTAAGAGCTAAAAAATATAACATCAGCAATAAAAACCTCAAAATGCAAAGGATGAGCTTTAGAAAGATTAGACAACGCAGAATGAAATATCTGTGAACTGGAAGATATAGAAACTGTCCAAAACTACTCAAACCAAATGGTGAGAAAGTTTATTTATTTATTTATTTTTAATTTTTTGAGATGGGGTCTTACTCTGTCACCCAGGCTGGAGTTCAGTAGTGGGTTTCATAGTTCACTGTAACCTGGAACTCCTGGGCTCAAGCAATCTTACTGGCTCAGCTTCCCAATTAGCTGTAACTACAGGTGTGTGCCGCCATATCCAGCTAATTTTTTTTTTTTTTTTTTTTTGTAGATATGGGATCTCACTATGTTGCCCAAAAAGCGGGTCTCAAACTCCTGGCCTCAAGCAATCCTCTCACCTCAGACTCCCAAAGTGCTGGGATTACAAGTGTGAGCCACTGTGCTTGGCCAAGAAAAATATATATTTTTTTAAATTAACAGAGCCTCAGTGAACTAGGAAACAATACTAAGTGATCTAACATACATAAAATTGGAGTAACAGGGAAATAAAAGCGGAGAGAAAAAAATACTTAAAGAAAAAAATGACTAAGTATTTTCCAAATTTAATAAAATTGCTAAGTATACGAAAAATCTGAAAAAAATCACTATGACTTAGTGGACATTTATACAATACCCCAACCAATAAGAGTAGAATGCACATTTTAAAAAAGTACACGTGAAACGTGCAAAAATAAACCATATGCCAGGCCCTAAAACAAGTCTTAATATATTTAGGAATATTGAAATCATTAACAGAAAGATATTTGGAAAATTGACAAATATTTGGAAATTAAACAACACACTTTAAAATAATCCATGAGTTGAAGAAGAAATTATCATGGAAACTAGGAAATATTTTGAATAAAATGAAAATGAAGTCACCACATATTGAAATTTGCGGGCACAGCTAACACAGTACATAGAGGAAAATGCATAGCCAGTCGTTTCTATGAGAACAGAAGGAAGCCCAACATCAATCATCTAAGCTTCTTGCTTAAGACGCTAGAAAAAGAAGCACAAATTGAACCCAGAAATAAGTAGAGGGAATGAAAAGATCAGGAATTATAGAAATCTACCAAATAGAAAATGGACAAACAAAAGAAAATAAATGAAATCAGATCTAGTTTTTTCACAAGATCGATAAAACTGACACATTTCTAGCTTCACTTGTCAGGAAAAAACAAGAGAAGAAATGAATTACCAATATTTGGAATAAAAAAAGGATTATCATGACAGACTCTATAGAAATTAAGAGAAAAATAAATAATGCAAACAACCTTATGAGAATACATTCAACAACTTAGATGAAATAAGCAAATAACGGGAAAGACATAAATCTTAAAAACTAATACAAGAAGAAATAGAAAATCTCAGTAACCTTCTATCAACTGAAGAGATTGGATTCATAATTAAAACCCCTCCCACAAGGAAAATGACAGCCCCAAACAGCTTCACTGCCAAGTATTGATGAAAGGGTTAATACCACCCCCACCCAGACTTCTTCAGAAAATAGTAGAGGAACACATCTCAACTTATTTTATAAAAGCAGCAAAACACCAATGCCGGGCCCGACAAGTACATTAAAAGAAAACTACAGATCTATACACCTTATGAATATAGATACAAAAACTCTTAACAAAAAATTAGCAAACTGAATTCAGCAACGTATAAAAAGAACAATATTTCATGG